CTTCGCGGTGGGACGCGAAGGAGACGCCGCTCCTCCTCCTCCGCACAGCGCGGCCGCCGAAAGCAGCGCCAGCAAAAGCGACAGGGGTAGCGGCGGCCAAGGCCGCCGCATGGCACCCAGTCTAAGCCTGGCTCGGCGGAGCGCGGCCTAAGCCCAGCGGTATCCTTGAGGGAAGGGAGAAGGGAAGGCGGAAGTGCTCATCTTTCCGGCGACTGAAAACGCTGCTATGGAGGCCGAGCAACGCTACGAAGTTCAGTCCCGCCCCTCCAGCCCGGTTCCTGCCACGTGATCCGAGGGGTGTCGGGCGCCTGCGCAGTAGTTGGTGCCGCGCGTCCGCTGCGCTTGGACTTGGTGGGAAGGGGAAGAGCGGCCAGAACGAAGAAGCGTCTTGGAGCGCCAGATGGAGAAGACCAGGATTGTATTTTCTTCCCTGTTAATAACTGTTGTCTCAACGTTTCTGTTCCTTCCTTCCTTGTAATTGGAGAGGTTTGGGTGATTTGTTTTTTGCATCATTACGAAGCACATAGACCCGCCCTTTCGGATTGAATGGAGCTCTTCAGCATTTCCTGTGCCTCCAAAAATAAGGGGTAGCAAGCGAAGAACCTTATTGGTAGCAGTTACATAATGAACCACCCAGAAGGGACTTTTTCTTACCAGTCATGGCATCTGTTTTACCTATCCTCTAGTTGAGGAAGAGACTTCTATAACAGATAGGAACATCAGAAGTTGCCTCAGACCAGATCAGTGAAAGCATGAAGCTATAATGTAGATTGCTTGGTTTGGCTTGATGTTTTCCCTGAATTCAGACATTCTGCTTTGTAAATCAAGGTTAATGGCTTAGTGTGTGCTGTGTGAATTAACTGTATTAATTAAACCATACTGAAACTGTAATAACTTCACTTACCTCAGTTACTTGTTTGAGATGGGCAGCTATACAAATTGAATGAATGAATGAACAAACAAACAAACCTGCATGCCACCAGACTTTCAGCATTTCTGGGTGGCTCACAATAATCAAATTAAAATAAAATCAATAAAACAAAAAATAAGATAAAAGATGACAAGTGTGATGAAGTGAGGGGTCTCACCCTCACCAATGGCAATAATAGCACAGTGGGTGACTCCAGCAAATTTGTCTGTCTAGCCCAATATCAGTTGTCCCTAGTCTGTTGCATTGTGGTATAAATTTCATTGCATTATAGTAAACACATATTGGAGGACATTAAGATATGGAAATTGGTTATTACAATGCTTTCCAAGGTCTCGGATGGATGATATCAGTCTAATTAGGCTAAGTCTGAACTTTCTGTGAATGTATAAATTGTTGTGTTCTGGCTAAGATGGTTAGTAATTATCTGGAGATCAGTTTCACTAGCTGGACTTCATAAAACCTCTTTTACAGCATAGTATTTGGTTCTGGGTGCAAGGACTGATCCAGAATAAGCCCAGGCATTCTTGATTTATCAGTCCTCAACTTTATCCAGTTGTACTTCATGATGCTGATGCTGGCCATCAATGTACAATAGAAGTTATACCAGCCAGAAGTGTCTTATTGCCGATGAAAGTATACTAGTTATTGCCACATTTTTGCCATTTTGCTGCTGATCATCAGCCCTGTCAAAATATATTGAAGTTTGAATTCTGTCATTTTATTGTTTTTAATTTATATTGCTCTCCAACTTATCTTTCAGTACAAATATCCCAAAGTGGGGCAATCAGGATTCTCCAAAGTTTTTATGCCATTGGTTTAGTTTGAAAGTTCTGATTGAGCTAGAATGAATCTGCAGCAGTCCTCTAACTTCTAACAGTCTTTTTTACTATAATAACATGATAAGATGTAGAATTTTTAGTGCTCTACAGATATGCAGAATTGGATTGTAAATAACTGACAACTCTACCAAGTTGCTTCCAATATTTGTATTACATTACCTGTCATCAATAATAATGTTTTATTATTGCAGTCTAGTGCACTATAAATTTGATTGTAAAAATATGCTTTTTCATTTTTTACATTACTGCTTGAAGTTAACATTATATAATGCCAACTTGCCAGATTTTAATTTTATTAGGAATAATTTAAAAAGTGATTATGCTATATTTTACTGAGTAAACTGCAAATTATTAATTAAATTGGTGTCCAATCTAATGTTAGATTCAGTTGATCAATTTTTATCATACCAGTGTCAGATGCAACTTAGTTTTTATAGAAATTATAATGTTGTATTTAAGTTCCTATAATTTTCTGCTATTAGTGGAATGTTTAAGGTGAAGGTTCTTGAGATTTAAATCAAGGTATTGTTCCTTTTTCTCATTAGAAACTGATTTAAAATTAAATTTTAAAACAAGCCAAATGGAACATGTCATTAGTCATGAATTTACTATGTATTAAGGGATTGTTTTCTTTATTAAAGGAAAAGTTGTACTTTGCTAATTTTTCATTTAAAATATTTTACATGACAAAATAGGGGCAGACCTTGGGATTCAGTAAAAAGCACAGGTGCTACTCAATTATGTGTTAAAATTAATCAAATAGGATTGGCTGATGTTAGGTAAAAAAAGGAAAATTCTTCTTCTTTTCTTCCTTCCAAAATAGTTTTTGCAGATGAGTGATGAAAGTTTATACATTATGGCTCAGTATATCAAATTTGCTCAGGCACAAGCTTTTTTTTAATCAGTTAATCAAGTGATACCTTGGAGAAGGGCTCTTAGGAACTTTAAAGAGATGTCAATTTCCTTTCTCCCAATTTAATGAGAACTGCATTTTTACTGTGGTCTCTATTTTATTGGACTTAGATTTTATACTTTTAGGCTAAGCTGCTTTGAGAGGCTATGCCCCCAAAAGGTGGTCAAGAATT